GAATACAGTGTGATATTTATATTCTACTGACTTTTGATATTTGCTTATATATCCATTTGTTAAGTAAATTATGGTCCCTTTTTTAATACTACAGTCTAACTAGGGAAACTGGAGACTATGGCACAAGTAGAGATCAAAACTGTAACCGTTTTTGTTTTTTTGTTTTTTTTTTAAAAATTCAAAACGACTTCAGTGTTTCAGAGCAGTGATAAAACAGCAATAAGATGGAGTCCATCTGCTATCTGTTTGCTGTTGAATGGGGTCAAGTTGGCAATTATATGCAATCTGTGTTGTGTTGTTGGTGACATTTACATACACAAAAATTGCACAGTATAAAGTATTGGAAGAATCTTAGAGTTTTGAAACAGTAATTCATAAAATCCACCTCAAAAAGTGACATAGTTATTTCAGGACTGTGATTTAACTGTCAAATGACACAGGTGCTCAGTAACCTGGATTTTATATAGGAATAGAACCTGAATACAGTTGGCAACCAGTTGAGTCAAGAACACTACTGCAAAGAGACACATCACAGATGAGTTGCACTCATTGGCACAGACTGATTCATATTGATTTTTGCAATCTGTTTGCATTTATAAATTAGAAGGCAGTTATTTGCACTTACCTTCGCCTGTGTGTTTGAGAGTGGTTGGAGTTAGTCAACAATGGACCGCAGTTGGTTGGAGACAGGTTTCCTCCCTCAAGGTGACCTTTAGAATTGCTTTGCAATCCAAAATGGTCAGAGTTTTAGGATCACCGCAACTAATTTGGCTGTTTGCAATCACAGGACAATCACTGGTTTTTTCTTTTTCCTAGTCCCTACAGTGGTTGTTTTTACTCTAGTGTGACTGAACCATTAGAGTGAACAGTGGCGGATACAGCAATGAATAGTCACATTTTGGTCATTGATATATCATTACTTTGACCATACATTGCTCCCCGATTCCTCATAGAACCACATCTTGTGCATCTCCAGTTTCAAAACATGAAGAATGCAATGGGGGGTATTCTCATCTCGAGGCTTTATGGCAGCCACAGCCAACTTCCAGTTACAGTTTATCATTATCATTAATTAATATAGACGCTTAAAAAAAGAACCAACTTAGAGAAGGAGCACAAGACATGGCTAGAAGTAGAAGAAATAAAGAATTCAGATGAAAAAGATTACAAACCTGGATAACTGTACGCTCCTTACTGCGTCCCTGTGCAAAGTGCACACACAGCTAGAATCTGTAGGAATCAGGGGTTTGTACCAAGATTAAAAAATATTGATTATCTGATGCTAAGCTGAAAGATAATGATTCATTGCTGTTAATTACTTTCACTGTGTATTTAATTACAACCTGAAACACGTTAAATGTCACAGAGGCTATTTGAGCCATTTTTAGACTTTTCTTAATTACTTGCAGCAATTTAGTCCAAAGCTGTGCAGTGAAATATGCATGTGTGAGTCCTAGTACATGGTAGACTTAATAACTCATTGATAGAAGGTTATAAACCTTATGTTCTTCTAAGTAGAAAAAAAGATACTGTTAAAGAATGCTAATGTATGTTTGTTTCTGTTTGCAGAGATCTTCAGCTTGAAGAGTATGTGGATCTGTACTGGAGAGACTACCCTTCAATAATTAGTGGCTTCACTGAGAGCTGCTTGATAGACCAGGGTAAGGCTTATTTAATTGTCTGTAACATTATCAAGTCAGGAAACGGACAAGACATGTTAAACAGGAGGATGGATGGTCTGCTGCTGGTAAAAGCTGTTTTAGCAGCCTTCCTTTGTATTTCTTGGTCTCCTAAAGGTGCTGCAAATGTAAACAAATGCAAAATAAATTTGCATGACGAGGCACTGTAACGTGTAATCTTCCCTCAGTCCAGCTGTGGTTTTCAAAAACTGAGCTAGCTTGTCAATTGTTGGATTGTGTGTTGGTGTGTTGTTGTTGTTGTTGTTGTTTTTTTGTTTTTTTTGTTTTTCTTCTTTCTAAATATGAGATGAGTGTAATGTTACCTTATGTAGGCTAAGCAGTGATTGGTTCACAATATTCCAATCATTTGCATTGCTGTTATGAGATAGAGCACCATTGAACAGAGGAATAGTTTTTTACACGCTTTTGAGGCCATTGCACGGTTTCTTTCCACAGGGGTGGACTTTCCTGCTTCCTGGTAATTTCCTGCTTGTGACTGACCCGATTGGTTTTGAGTGTGAAATTCTACCGATGGGCATTCCCAACACATAGCGCTTAAAATTAGTCTGAATATAAACAAGGTTTAGTTAAAAATAAAGACTCAGTGCGGGGGAAGTTTTCTTGTTGTCACTAAGTTTTCGTGACAGATGTCCTAAAAATTATGTGAACACCTGTCAGGTGGTTATTTGCTTTGTGACATGGATACTTGCAGGGTTGAATATAAAGTGTTGCTGTTATTTTGTGCACATGGTTTTCTGAGAAAGGATGAAGTGACATAACCATCCAGCTCCCTTTTATCTCTTGTTCTTTTACCTCACCCACCACCTTTCTCCCTCCTCTTCCTCACCTGGCTTTTCTTAGCACTGATTTGCCAAATGCAGCGGCCGTCTTTCCTGAGACCAGAGCCTCCCTGTGTGTTCAGCTGGCTCAGTAGCTGCTTGAGAGGAGAGGAGAGCCCACCTTTCCCCTACCTGCCGGGTATCTGCCAGAGGACCAGACTGCTGGTTGTGGTACGATTAAAGCACATCTGTCATTTTTATAAAATAACTTTCTTCAAGTAAAGTGAGTATAGCTTACTATCTATCTATATATCTCCAAGAAGTTAATGCCGTCCGTCTTTCCTTTTTCTTAACTTGCTTTATAGAATTGTTAGAAAGCTGCAATTCATGAACCATATTTCCTTACCTTTTTTTCTTATTTCAAAAATAAAATATTAAGCACCACATGTGCAGGTGACACTCAGGCATTTGTACTTTCGCAGTGTAAAAATGATGTTGCTCTTCCCTTTTTTTGCATAGAAATGGATATTCAGTGCTAAATAAGAAGGGCCTAAGTTTTGGTGCTTCATATCACTCTTAAAAAGACAGTACTCAACAGAGAGACATGGATACAACATTGGTCATATTATCATGTTTGTTCAAATATTTGTTCACAAATTTATGTGCTTTGATTATGACTGTGGCACAATTTTTCGTTACCGTGTACTGGCTCATATTTCGATGCGCACAGTATCTCCTGAATCGGCAATAGGAAGAGTAAAGTGAAGTGTGAGAGCACTCTAAGTCCCCTCCTTGTAAGCCTAAATGCCTCTTGATTAAAGGTTTTCCCCTTCACCACTTAGAACAGGATGGAGTGAAGAACTGAGGTTCATATTCATCCATCAAAAAGCTTTGATCACATCAGTTCATTGCAGTTCACAGAACAGTTTTATTTAAATTATCCCTTTCTTTTTTCTTTAGAAAATATAACTGCTCTTCACTGGAAATGTCAATATTTATTTTTTTATGCAGTAAAAATCTATACTGTGCAAGTGTTTTTGTATCATATTTACATCTCTTCTCTTAACCTTTTTCCCAGAGTTATGCTCTCTATGTCATTGGAGATGAAAATGCTACTTCAACAGATGTATCCAAGTACCTAGCCAAGCTTTCTGCAGGTTTGTTAGTGACTAACCTTTAAGATCATTTTCTTGCATGCTGCACTGTGTGTTTCTCTGTGGGTATGCATGTTTGGGTTCATTTATTGACAACCACCCCCTATTACCTGCCAGTCCCCTGCCTTCATGCTTCAGGGCCCAGTAGCACAGAAAGAAAGATGAGTGACGCAGGTTTGTGTCTCACCTGATTTCCTTTGTGTTTATTTCAACAAAAAACAATACAGCGCTAAGGTAACAGCTGTTGCTGCAGGTGTTGGATGAACTTTTGCCTTGACTTGGACACTGGCTTTGTGTGAGAGATGCTTGAGAATCCAGAGTGACTTTTTGAGCACTATGTTGCTATTTTTAATAAACAGATGCCATCCCACTCAAACACAATCCCACATTCATCAGGAACAAAATGTCGCCTTTATTTTAAGTGTCTGTGAAGGTTCTCAGTCATCCAGGTCACCGTAGTCAAAGGAGCTTGCAATGAAAAGCGTCTGGACTTCTTTAAGTTGCTTGAAGACGTTTCACCTCTCATCCGAGAAGCTTCTTCAGTTCTAAGGTCAAATGGTGGAGAGTCCCAGATATAAACCTACAATGAACACACCCGAAACTCTGGCTGATTGGGACCCACACCCAGTTTCACACCTTGGCTCAGGCGATTAGAGGATCATCAGGGGGTCGTTTTGTCCCTCTGTGGGGGGATACTCCTACTAGGTTTATATCTGGGACTCTCCACCATTTGACCTTTGAACTGAAGAAGCTTCTCGGATGAGAGGTGAAACGTCTTCAAGCAACTTAAAGAAGTCCAGACGCTTTTCTTTGCAAGCCTTTATTTTAACCACTCATTTTAATGTTCTTTTTTTTTTGTTCTTTTTTGGTTACAGTTTTTACTACAGATTTGAAAATGCTTTAATATATTTACCGTATTTTTTGGACCATAAGGCATACTGTTGACAAACGTGTCTGTTTTCATACATAAGGCGCACTGGATTATAAGGCACAATAACCGAAACAAAACAGTCAGATACGTCAAAGTTTACTCATTCTTGCTTCCTGGCAGCACGGTGACATGGTACTGATAGCACTGTTGTCTCACAGCAAGAAGGTCCTGAGTTCAATTCCACCATCAGGCCGGGGTCTTTCTACATGGAGTTTGCATGTTTTCCCTGTGTTTGCATGTGTTCTCCCGGTACTTCGGCTTCCTCCCACCATCCAAAGACATGCAGTTTGTGTCTGTGTGTTAGCCCTGCGACAGACTGGCGACCTATTCAGGGCATACCCCGCCTCTCGCCCTATGACAACTAGGATAGGCTCCAGCGCCCCCCGCGACCCTGAAAAGGATAAGCGAATGAATGGATGGATTCTTGCTTCCTCCACTTCCGTACCATTTATTCATCAATGCTGAATTCTCTCGAAGCTGCTCTATTCCCATGTTGTTGCAGTATATTAATGACTAACCTCGTATTGTGGATGGGTTATCTCAGTTGTTCTCCTGACTGAAGTTTAGTCCGTTTACAGCATACCGGCCATGCGATTGCATTTTCCCCTAACCATCGAGAACCCGCACGTTAATTCTTTTGGAGTGGAAAAAAGTTAGCGTTCATCCTTCAGCTTCAATTATGCTAACATAGCTGTCTCGCTAGCGATCACGTAGCACATCATTATATACCAGCTAGTCCAACTTCAGTAACCATACAAACGTCACTGCTGTTTAGTTTTCTGTCTTTGTTTATGTTGGAAGTGATAGCAGAGCTGTACATTTTAATTTTTTCAGAAATCTCTCAGTTATAACATGCTATATCATGTTTAGGTGGAAACTAGCAAGGTAACTTCCTGCTAACCTCCAGCCCTGTTAAATTTAATACATTGTTTTCATGGATGCCTGGATGTTACACTTAATTGTTACACCTGGTAAAGCAGCAACGCTGATCATCTTATTAAAGCTGAAAGAATTTATGGTTTTTAACTCTCACTGATGCTGCAGTGTTCATTTGACTTTGGGTCCAAAACTCCGTCCTCTTAAGGTCCCAGTCTGCGAGGCCCCTGACTACGGTAGCCATAATGCTCCGACAATCCATCTAGCGGTGTGGTTTCATAGCGTACCAAAGTTGTACTAAAACATTTTGACAGATTTTTCAGCGCCGTATGCCGCATAAAATTGGTTCGAGGTCAGTAAGCACAACCAGAATTCATACATAAGGCACAGCGGATTATAAGGCGCTCTTTCAATTTTTGATAAAATTAAAGGACTTTAAGTATGCCTTACAGTGCAGAAAATACGGTAGGAGCTGCAAAAAGAGTGCCAAGCCTGATTTGTAAATTCATTGACCTGTTTTCCTTGCTGCTGATCTTCCTCACCCCTCTTTCTCATTTTCATCAGGCCAGAAATCCTCTGTCACTGAACCCCAAATAAGAAGGTAATTCATCTGACAGAAACATGAGCAAGAGCTTTTAAATTTCTTCTTTTTTTTTTTCTTTTAAGGCATTGAAACACCTAAAATGAATTCTGACATACAGGATACCAGCACATTCTTTTGTATTATTTTTCTGTTTGTTAATATATCCCTAAAGGTCAACTTGTAAAAATCTTATACCTAATAACAGTTAAAGTTTTCTGTTAATTTCTCTTGTATGTATGTTTTCTAGACAGAGCAGTGTTAAAGTGATGTCCTCCAGTGAAAATCTGGCTGAGCAGCTGGTGGTCTGGCTCACCTCACAGGGTAAGAGAAGTATGTCTCTTAAAAAAAAAAGAAGAATCTATATTCAGAAAGGAATGTTGAAGCTATATCCTCTTTTTCGCCACCACAGTGGTTTACATGCATATTTACACATTCACATCTGTCCACTGAAACCAGTCTGTGAACCTGAATGTGCTTTCTCACTGCTGGGTGACATGTTTGCTGTGTGAATAAAGGTTTTAATATTGGTTTTTAATATAAGTGTGCTTCTTAAATCTTTTTATTTTAAAATGGGTAATGTAACCTATGATATTTTAGTTGTTCAGCTGTGAGCTGACAATAGTATAAAGCATGTACATACAACAGTTGTAGCAGCTTTTGAGTTTCACCCACCTGTTTGTGTGTATTTATGTTAGCGCTCAAAGGACACTGCCTCTAAAGCAGAATATTCCTTGTTTCTAAAAAACTGTGCATTTTTCACTGGTTTAGGTTTCACCCTGAAAGATTTGGAGTCGGTCCCCTTTGGTGTGGCTTTGCCTATTAGAGAGGCAATCTATCGGTGCCGTGAGCAGCCGTGTTCTGATTGGTCAGAGGAGGTCTGTCTTCTGATTGGAAGACAAGATCTTACCAAACAAGCCCACAAAATGACCCTTGCCAAGAGCAAAGCTGTGAGTGTAAAAAAACTTAAAACCTAAATTATTTAGATAAAGATGGAGTTCAGTGTCTGCAGATTCTAAAATAGGAAAGTAAGTTTTCAAAGTTTTTGGTTCTTTTTTGGCCTTATAATTTGTGTGTTTCTCCAGTCTGTAAGTTCAGGCCTGTCCTTGGAACCTCCTGCAACCACAGAACCAGATGAGGAGGAGGATGGGATGTCAGACATTGTTCAAGAGGTAAACAAATTCATAAATATGTTTATATATTTTTTGTTAGTAGTGTGTTCTGTAGAAAAAATTCAGATATTTATGTCTTCTTCTCACTAGGTCACAGGACTGATTTGGAGTCAGGATCTGAGGGTCCAAGAGGTCAGGAGGCTTCTGCAGAGCTCCAGACCTGTCCGGGTTAGTGTTGTCCAGCTGCCAGAGGTGTCTGACCATGAGTACATAGAGGAGAAAGAGAACAAGTGAGTATAATGCATGCATTTGTCATGAACATCTTTGGTCTTGAAACAGAGACAGTAAAACACCAGTTCTAAAAAGGCATATGCAGTATATATTTCTGTACTGTTCTGCGTTTCCTTTCTTCTCCCCTAATCTGTGTGGTAAACTTATTGGCCAGTTGGCATTTTTTTAGAATCTGTGATGTTTTTATAGTTTTTATCACCTGCCCTGTCCATGTCCTTGCCTTCTATAGACTCCTGCAGCTGTGTCAAAGGACCATGGCCCTGCCAGTTGGCAGGGGCCTCTTCACTCTCTTCTCTTATCACCCAGTACCGACTGAACCTTTACCTGTCCCAAAACTCAACCTCACAGGTATTTTAAGTTTTCAGTTAAAAAATAAAATCTACTGGAACAAGTTGAAGAGAATGTGGAAATTTGTAAATGGTTCATTTAACAGGAAGATAAAATTAGTTTGTGCAATAATAAAAGCTGTTGCAGTACAATTTATTACTGCCCTAGAGGAAACATAACTTTCCAAAAAAAGAAAAAACATTGTAATTATCTTTGCTAAATCAGGAACAAAATATTCCAAAGTTTAAGAGGATTAATGATTTAATAACTACATGCATTTGCAGATTATTTCCCATTTTTATTTTTCTTCCTCAGGCCGTGCCCTTCCGAGGAATACTGTGGTAGATCTGAACAGCGGAAACATTGATGTTCCTCCTAATATGACTAGCTGGCCCAGTTTTCATAACGGAGTAGCTGCTGGGCTTAAAATAGCCCCTGCCTCACAGGTGAGACTGAAATCATTGCATGTTTAATCAATCAGTCTGTTACTTAGTAAATACCCCAAAATGTTAATGTTGACAGGCCTATAAATGTTTTTAAAAATTAAATTTTTATTTTTTATTATTTTATTAGTATTTTTCTATTAGCTCTACCTGTAATTCTGTAGAATAATTTTAATTAAAACCCGCTAGCTTGTTCCACAGCTTCAGTTTTATCCAACCTTAAATGTAAAACATTTTACATTGCTTATTCAACATCGTGTTTATTTACTACGGTACTTACCTATTTCTAATGTCATTGTTATGTTAAACTGGAGAGTATTGAAAAAAAATATGATATTGATGCTAACAGATTTAAGCATTTGATGAATATTTATTTATACTGTTCAGCTGGTTTTAGCTTTTAGCTTTTAACTCTGGCTAAAGCTTCTGTCATTGTGTTCCTTCATAATTAACAAGAATGGAGACTTCCAGGGTTTTGGTCCGATTTCAGCGAATCTTGCACACAATGATCACTTAATGGGCATTAGAGTAGTTGTACGGGTAATAACTGTGAATGGAACGTGAGCCATATTAGTTACAATGTCACTGTTGTTCTAGTTTGAGTGTCTTTTATTCTTTGGGCAGTGTAATGCTAAATGGATATTAAAACTGAGCACAAATAAAATATTCTAATAATTGTAAATACTCAAAAAACCTCATTCTCTTGCAGCAAAGACATTTATTAGTGTTATACCAATAAATATAGTTTAATTTTGTTTTTTGTTTTTAAGGTGGACTCAGCCTGGATTGCCTACAACAAGCCAAAGAGCCCTGAGCTGGCTAATGAGTATGCAGGCTTCCTTATGGCCTTGGGGCTCAATGGACACCTCACCAAGTTGGCCACGCTGAACATACATGACTACCTCACAAAGGTGCACACCTGTCTACACACAGGCTTACATGTGCTGGAACAATTTCAGTATTTCTTTGCTATGTTGAGTTTTACAGCAGAAAGTAAGAAGTGTGCGTAAGTACATGTATAACACTCTACACTCAAAGAATACTTTGTACTTTAAATGCTCAGTTTAGAGCCGGTTGTGCTCTAAATTTTATTTTTTTTGCAATAATTTAGAGCTCCCGCTTCTGTCACACGCCCAACTTACAAAGAACGATAAGATGAAAACAAATTTGAAGTTAAATACAGTTTATACATAAACATGCGTCATAGCTTGGCAGCTAGTCAAAGTGAAACTTTCCCTTGTGAGAACTTAGACATGAGACAACTCCTTCCAACTTTCGGGTGAGAAAAACAACAGGATGTCGCAAGCCAAATCTTTTTTTTTTCTTCTTCTAAATTCAAATGTCTATGTGAAAGGGTATTTGAAGATTGATTGCTAAGCCTTTGAACCTCATCCATACTGAGTATCCACGCTATGTTTAAGACTGATTCATTTTCATTTCCCGTTTTGAATTTTGATTTTTGTGTAAATTTAAGCTGTGGTTGATGATAATCACAGTTATTTCGCTGTATTAGTCATTGTATGAATACAATATAAGTCTGCTCAGTCCTAATTGTGTTCTACACCATGTCCTCCTATTTTGAGTTCTTTTCCCCCCCTCTGCATTTACATGTTAATGTTTTTCACTGCAAATTTTTATTGTATGCATTTAATGTTTAATTATATTGTTGGTATAAAAACCGTAATGGTGAGTCTTGGAACTCAACTGCCCTAATATCGAGATTTCACCAGTATATATTTCTTTTATTTTAAATTATATTCTTTATAATATCTTTGTAGTATCTCATTCATAGTCTCCTAACTAATTGATCTTTTAAAATAAAGGCTCAGAAATAAATATCCACAGCTCGACACACAAGAATGAACTAATCAGATGCAGAGAGTTGATGGTAAAATATGTCACAGCTTCCAGTGTGAATGAAAGCAATGAACGTGGTTGAAGCGTGTTTGTTGCTAGTGGTTTTTTGACAGTTTCTATTCTTGCTGTGATAGAGAATTGCATACTGAGGATCAGAATTCATTAGAATTGTTTATGACTGTGGTTTTAAAAAGAATTTGGGGTGATGCCATTCACCTTTTAAACATTCCAGTTTGCGTCAGCGTTTTACAAGCAAAAACTGTGTCATTGTATCTAGTTTTTCAGTTTGTATTTTAACTCGTATTTGACCCATGATTTTTGACATCCCTGGAAGAGAGCAACTCATATTTTACAATTTCATACAAGGTCCCAGCGGTTATCTTCACAAACTAGTAAATGGTTAATCATCATTTTCTGAGCTTTTTGTCTACATTGTCATTCAATACAAGAATATTTTCATTTACTTTTAGTCAAATGATAATATGATGTCTAAATTATGAAGGCTAAGGAAGGCTGTCCAACAGATGGCCTCTTACTTCATGGCATGTGTTCACTATGCACGGCAATCACCTATTTCATGCTGTTTGTGTTAAAACATGTTGTGGTCGGTCAAACAAATGTGCACACAGGGGTCTAATGAAAACTGTCTGTCATGATCTCAGATACGAGAGTCACAGATCAAGCCAGTTAGACTGCATTTTTTTTTTTAGTGCAAAAGAGCATGCATTACACTGCATTTTCAATAAGTAATAGTCAAAATTTTATTAAAAGTGACTACTATTTGAAGAGAAGCTGTTTGATAATATTTCTCTACTGTTAGCTTTTGCTAGGTGTATGAAATATTAGAAAGTTGTTGTTTATCACTGATAATTGCAGATGCAGTTTTTATTGTGATTTAATGTCTGGGTGCCTCTGTCTTTCAGGGCCATGAAATGACCAGCATTGGGCTCCTCCTGGGTGTGTCTTCAGCCAAACTGGGCACCATGGACATGTCGATCACTCGCCTACTTGGCATACACATTCCTGCCCTTCTCCCGCCCACTTCCACTGAGCTGGACGTGCCACACAATGTTCAGGTAAGAGTGAGTATGTATAAAGAAGAAGATAAAGCTAATTTCGATTAATTCCGTCTTCACAGGGGTGGCCCCAGCAGGTAGTGCTGCATGTTTGATTTGTCAGATTTTCACGCTAGATGCCCTTCCTGTCGCACCCCCGAAGAGATTTCTTTTTATCTTCCCTGGATGATCATTCAGTTCTTCATCTGTTTTTTTCTTTCTTTCTTTGTTTTTTCTTTTTCTGTTACAGGTTGCAGCTGTAATTGGCATCGGGTTGGTGTACCAAGGAACGGGCCATAGACACAATGCTGAAGTCTTGCTGTCTGAGATAGGTGTGTAAGTGCGTGTGTGCAAAAGGGAGACAACACAATGGAAAAAGTTCCATAAAATTACCTAAAAGTTTAAATCGGATACATTAAAAGCTGTTAATTAAAGAGCTGGATATGAATTTCACTGAAGTAAATAAACAGTATTTTATATATGTAACACCTTGGAGAAAAAAAAGTGCACAATATAATTTGGGTTTTGGACTATTATTTAATTGCCAAATGCATGTTTAATGGATAGGTGTCTCTCAAACTGCAAGAAAAATACTGTTTTCTTGAATAGACATTGTAAACAGTCAGGTTAGAAGTTTTGCTTAAGCTCTGTTGCTCCATTTTAAACACTGCATCCAGTCTCACTGTTGAACTTTTATTTTTACTTTAATTAGATTTTTCTTGCCATGCATAGATGGTAACTTTTGGTCTGTCTGTTGTTCAGGTCGACCCCCTGGACCAGAGATGGAATATTGTACAGACAGAGAGTCCTATTCGTTAGCAGCTGGGCTCGCTCTTGGTATGGTCTGTCTGGGGGTAAGACAAACAAAAAAACATATATATATGAATATACGTTGCCATTTTCCATTTGTTTGTTGCAATAGTAACTAATTAAAAAAAAAAAAGTAACAGCTTCTCACAAAACCCGATTGTTATGTTTATTTTTTTGTACACATACATTTTTTTCTGTTATTAAGCCACATAAGTTCTTTTAAAAGTCCCTTGGATACCTGCTCACTAAGAGAAACCTCAGATCATAATATTGTCAGGTGTTAATGATGCTTGAAGCCCAGTAATAAAGGGACAAAACCCAAGTTCAAATATTGGTTTTCTTTGACATCTGTCTCTGCATGTCTCTTGTTTCTTATCTCTACTCTCATCCTTTTCTGTCCTGCACTTACCTTGCTTGTTCTTCCTTCCCCTTTCTCCTCATAGCATGGCAGCAACCTGATTGGGATGACAGACCTGAATGTCCCTGAGCAGTTGTATCAGTACATGGTTGGGGGACATCGCAGAGCTCAGGCTGGGGCCAACCGGGAGAGGCACAAATCCCCCAGCTACCAAATCAAGGTACATGAAAGAAACCCTCTTTTTTTTTTTTTTTTTTTTTCCAGTATCCAAAAAATCAAGGCCTTTGTCAGTGAACTGAGGTTCTGCTGTGAGTATGTCAGCTGCCAACCTTTCAGATAATAGAAGACAAGCCATTTTTTCACAAATATTCCAGAAGCAAATCTGACCAAGTCTAAGGATGGTCTA